TTCGTACGCCCCGCAGTCCCTCTGCTTGCCCGCGCGCACAAGCACATGTACATCTGACTCGCCCGACTCGTCTGACCGATGCTCCGCCCCTCCCCTCCTTCGTGCCCGTCTGCCAGTCTCCCCCCCCCCCTCCCCCCTCTCCTCCCGGCAGCCATGACCTCAGAAGAATCGTTAAGTTCCGGCCCCACGGCCACTCCCCACTCAAGCGGCTCCTCGCTGGGGCCGATCACCTCCCTCTCCTCGTCGGCCGTCCAGCCGGTGGTCTCATCGCCACCCTCCGGCCTCGGGGTCTTCTCATCGGCCGAGGCGGCGCCGGTGTCGGTTGTGTTCCCTGCGGGCGGGGCCACCACCGCCCCGACCGGCCCGGCCGCCGCTGCCACCCCGGCCGCCGCTGCCACCATGGCGCCGGCCCAAAATTCCAACCTGTCAAAATTCGTCATGGGCGGCCTGGCCGGCATGGGTGCCACCTGCTTCGTCCAGCCCATGGACCTGATTAAGACGCGCATGCAGCTGGCCGCGTCCACCCCCGGCGCGCCGAAGATCGGCACCTTCCAGGCGATCTCGGCCATCGCCAAGGCCGACGGCCTGCTCGGCATGTACAACGGGTACGAGCCGGCTGCCGGCCCCTTCCCCCCCCCCCCCCCCTTTGTGCCCTTGCGCCACCTGCTGTCCGGCACCGGCCTCCTGACCTCCCGCCCCGCCCCACAGCCTCTCCGCCGGCCTTCTCCGCCAGGCCACCTACACCACCACCCGTCTCGGGGTGTACGCCGTCCTCGAGGAGGCCTTCACCACCGAGAACAGCAAACCCTCCTTCGCCACGCGGGCCTTCTGCGGCATGGTGGCCGGCGCCGTGGGCGCCATCGTCGGGACACCGGCCGAAGTGGCCATGGTCCGCATGATGGCCGACGGCCGGGCGCCGGTGGCCGAGCGCCGGGGCTACCGCAATGTCTTCGATGCCCTGGTGCGGGTGGTCCGCGAGGAGGGTGTCCTGACGCTGTGGCGTGGCGCCGGGCCGACGGTCGGCCGCGCGGTCGTCCTGAATGCCGCCCAGCTGGCCACCTACTCGCAGTTCAAGCAGGTGCTCGGCCTCGGGCCGCTGCACCTGGATGGCCTGCCACTGCATGTGACGGCGTCCCTCCTGTCCGGGCTCGTGGCCACGGCCGCCTCGCTGCCGATCGACATCACCAAGACCAAGCTCCAGAACATGACCATCGGTCCGGACGGCCGCGCCGAGTTCCGCGGCGCGTTCGACGTCATCCGGTCGGTCGTCCGGTCGGAGGGGCCGCTCGGCCTGTGGAAGGGCTTCACGCCGTACTTCATGCGCCTCGGCCCGCACACGGTTCTCACCTTCGTCATCCTGGAGCAGCTGAATGCCTTCTACCGCGGCGGCGCCCGGTGATCATCATCCTTGTGCGAGTGAGAGCGGTGCCTTTCTTTCTTTGAGGCCCGGCCTCTCCCTCCCTCCCCTCGCCCTTCGCTTCTAGTGAGAGGCGAGGTCTCGGGGGCGCGGGGGGGCCACCCGCCATGTGGCCTATCGGCGCGGCGATTCGTGGATGTGGGGACTGTGTGTGGTGTCGAGAGCAAGAGCGCGAGGGAGATGCAGGCCCGCCCGGGGCGAGGACCCAGAGACACACACATTCACACCTACCCACCCGGAGTGGCGAGGCCATGAGCGCCAGGGCGCGATCTTGGCGAGCACAAGCGCACGCGGGCCGAGAGATCTCAGCCGCGCCCCCATTGCCCCCGGTGGTGTACCTTCCTTCTCCGTGCCCTGCCACCCCCACCTCTCTCCCTCTCCCTCTTCTCTATGGAGGTCTCCGCATCTTCTCCTCCC